GATTCAATGTAGGCTCTGTGAATGGCATGTAGTCTTCCAATGCCCTACTATCTTCCCAGCTGTATTTCTCTCCACATAGCTCCAGATCCAAGGAAACTGGATCCATGAACCATGTGTTCATGTCTTCTACTACATGTTCATGTGCCCTCTTCCTAAAGACACCCTACGCATCCTTCAGGGTCTTCCCTAGTATTCCCCTCAACTATCATTTTCTTTTCTTTTTTTTTTTTTTTTTTGAGATGGGCTCTTACTCTATCACTCAGGCTGGAGTGCAGTGGCGTGATCTCGGCTCACTGCAACCTCTGCCTCCTAGGCTCAAGGAATCCTCTCACGTCAGCCTCCTAAGTAGATGGGGCCACAGGGATGCACCACCACGCCCAGCTGGTTTTTTTGTATTTTTGGTAGAGACGGGGTTTTACCATGTTGCCCAGGCTGGTCTTGAACTCCTGGACTCATGCGATCAGCCCACCTCGGCCTCCCAAAGTGCTGGGATTACAGGCATGAGCCACCATGCCTGGCAAAGTATCCTTTTCCGACTCCCCTGTAACTTGACCTCTCACTCCTCTGAACCACATTATTAAAAGACCTTTCTAATGGTTCTACATTCTGCCTTACATTATGGCATTCTTTCCTTTCTCCCTAGTGGTAGCTGCTGAGCCCCTTGAAGGCAGGGACAGTGTATTACATATTAGAGATACTCAATATCTGTTGAACTGTGAAGAAAATCGTATTTGTATTTTATAGAAAAAAAGTGTGAAGGCAGGTGAAGTCATTCTTGGCTCAAGTCTTTAAAAAAGAAGTAGGCCTCCAGTTCACTGAAAAGACTGTTACTCACCCTTTTAACAAGCAATCAACAGCCAATAAATTACTCAGTCAGTGAATGTAATTCAAAGCTATCACATACAGAAGTGTGAGTCATGCCAGCAGCTGGACACTTCCCTCCTGCTTCTAGGGAAGAGAACATTCATTTACAAAGACTACAGAACAGCCACAAGAACGAACAAGCTAACCACAGTGTCAGATGTTACAGCTGGACAAACAGCCCGAGCCTGGTCTCTAAGCTATGCAGGTGCCTCATTTCTATGACAGACAGAGGCAGGAGAACAAGGCTGTTAGGGCCTGTGTTCTGAAGCAGCAAAAAGCCAGCCACAAGCAAGCCAGCTTCTGAGGCGCTCCAAGCACATTCCCTATGAGGGATGAGGATGAGGAAGGGTGCATCCTCATGTGCACAATATGGATGTACGATATGTTTTCAATATGTTGCCAGTAAAAGCAGACAAGTGCTAATATGCATATTAGGTAATATGCAACACTTAAGCGATTTTTATTCATGGTTGGTTTTTATTTTAGAGAAAAATTCCAAAGATTGTCCACATTCTAAAGTATAAATAATTTTACTTAGAAAATTATGTTATACTCTGCACTGAATTGTAAGTGTTCAAAAAGGAATGAAGTCTGTCTCATTTTTTTTTTTAAGTGTGAGACAGAATCCAGTTTAAAAAATAATTTGGATTCAGTTTAAAAAAGTTTCTGGGATTTATTATATTTGGGCATTTTGAAATATTAAAAATGACTTTTATCACTAGTATAGGATTTCAAAGAGAGGCTTAGGAGCATTTACTAAAATAGATTTGGGCCTTTTAATTTTATTGGAGACACAATATTTACAGAAATAATACACAAAAACATGCAATGTCCTGTTTCTAGGCACTGTTCCAGTTGTGCCAGAGGAAAGAACATGGGACACAACTGGCTATGCAAGGCATGGAAGAAGGAAAGAAAGGAGACGGGAAGGAAACCGCGGGGTGAAAGGAGGACTCAGAGATGCGAGGTTCCCATGGAAATCAGTGTGTCTGAAATTTTTAAAGGAGATGAAGGCTTTAGCATCATGGAAGGTACTAGTGGAAGCAAGAGGATGTAGATAAGGCAATGTGTGACATTCATATTTTCCAAAAAGCAACAGAGCCTATCAAAGCTACATAGTAACTGAAAACATCTGAATGTTGACAACAAGGTAATGAAGAAAATACCATAGCAGTAAAAACAGCTAATAATACTTAGGTTTCTAACCAACAGGCTAATAAAAGACTTTTTATAGTCAATTATGTCATTTAACTCTAACGCTAATCCTGAGAGATTGGTATTGTTAGATCTGTCTTAAGGTTTAGGTAACTGAGGGTTAGAGAGGATAAGTAACTGGTCAGAGATCTCACATCTAGTGATGGCATTAAGGTTTGAACCCTGGCTGATTTCATTCATACATTCATTCATTCTCGACGGATATTTACCAACTGGGTACTACTACTGAGTTCCTACTTGTCAGCTACTAGGCTTACAAATAGGCACGGTTCTTGCTCTTAGGAACTTATCTAATGAGAAAGACAGCCAATAAACAATTTAATAAGCCAATATCTAATTATAAAATTTGATAAATACCATGAACAAAATGGCTAAAGAGAAGTAATAGAAGTAATAGAGAATAAAGTGGGGCCTTAGCAAATTAGACAGCATGGTTAGAGTAGTGCAAGTGAGCCTAAAGGCTGGGAAGAAGCCAGCCAGTCGTGGGAAGAAAGGCAAGCATTCATGGAGGACGGAAAAGCATATGCAGAGGACCTGAGACAGGCCAGCACAGCTGGACTACGTGGGCAAGAAGTATAGTAGCAAGAAGAGGTCTGCAAGGTGGGTAAGGGCCACAGCATGGGGGCTGCTGCACGTTAGGAGTTTGGGTTTTAAGTGCAATGGGAAGGCACAGAATGGTTTTAGATTTGGGTTTCTAAAAGACCACACTGATTTGTGTCTCAATAATAGATAGTAAGAGGCAAGAGTAGAAATGGAAAGACCAGTAAGGAGACTTCTGCAGGATTCCAGGAGAGATGATGGTTGCATGGCCTCAGGTGGAGGCAGACGAGAGGAAAGAAGCGGACCTCAGAAGTGATCTGGGCTACATTTTGGTGGTAGAACCAAGGGGCCTTAGTGATGGACTGGATGTGAGGGGTTAAGGGAGGGAGGCGCAGAGGATGTCTCTAAATCCCGTGCCCTGCTTTAAGCCTTGTACATCGTTTAATTTTCTTAAGGTATTTCTTATATTGAAAAGTTAGCTATATTTATAGTGGTGTTTTAAGTGACATATTTTTAAATAAACAGTTCAAGTGCTAAAATCTCTGTTTCCAAACTGCTAAGCTAACCCTCTGACTGTAACATCTGCACTGAGGTACACTACTTAGAGAGAGATATATACCTCAGGTGTGCAGTGACGGAAATGAAGGGGCTTTCACACCAAACCACCTAGGGGTGACTCGGCATTTTGCCATTCTTCTGGGTAAATGCAAAGAAGTCACAACTCTGTGTGAGCCTCAGACTTCACACACTCAGGTAAGAGCTCTCTCACAGTTTGGTTGTGAGAATTCAGTACCTTATACTAAGTCCCGGCCTGCAGCAGACCTTCCCTTCTCCCCCACTACAGTGATGAGAATGCCACCAGTCATTTTGCAAAGCACCTGTGTAACCGAGATGAGGGATCTGAGTGCTACACTGAAGATAACTGAGACGCACTCTAGATGAGGGGCTCTAGACCCTCTTAGGGGTCCTAAAGGGTCCTCATATGGCAGCTCTAACTCTTTAACAGCCATCTTTATCTCCTAAGACCGCCAGATAAAACACAGAACACCCAGTTAAAATTGGATTTCTGGGAAATCCAATTTTAAAAAATTTTTAAGTATGTCCCATGCAATATTTGGAACATATACTAAATTTTTTCACCGTTTATCTGAAATTCAAATTTAATTGGGCATCTTGTATTTTTATTTGCTAAATCTAACAATGCTATCTATGACTAGGCAAGTCTCTACTGGGAATAAATTACTCCAAGATTCTGCCTTCACAGCCCCTGGAGATGCTCTGACTCTTCTCTGTATAAGAGGTTGTATCTCTCACCATCACCCTGCTGCACTTCCACTCCTATTTTCTTTGCACATTTCACTAATCTCTTCTCACTTTTACCAATAAAGGTACAGGAATACTCAAAGTCCATTGAATGGCTTTGTTTCGGACACAGGACTTTACTTAGCGGTCATAAAGAATGCTGGTGAGCAGGTGTATGTGTATGTGTGTGAGTGTATGTGTACATGATATGTGTATGTGAGTAGGTATGGGGGTATGAGCACCTGCTGTATTAACCTTTTGAAAATTAAGATGATGCTAACAGTATGTCATCAGGAATACATTCTGCGTGTTTTCTAGTAGCAGTGAATTAAATTTCCAACTACATTCATGAAAGCTATGTAGATCCTACAGTAGTAGAACGAGTTATTGAATAAACTGAAAGAGAAAAGTTTTGAGTTCATTCAGTAATCACTATCCATCAAAAGTTAAGAGCTGAAAATCTTTCATTTAAAAATCATACTACGTGAAAAGAATTGGAAAGCTTAGGTCAGAGTTTTATCTATCTGAGTGTTCCTTTTGCTGATAGTCAAGTGTTTCAATTCCCAGTTTCAGTACTGAGGAAAAAAATTCAAGGAAACATAAATCTAGTTCATTATGCGAGATGCCCAGAACACTGTTACTGTTTGCTATTGTTCCACAACAAGATAAGGCACTTGCTCCAGAATGAAAATCAACAAATCAAGGAAGTTTTGCTATTAAAAAATTGTCAGTTAAACTAAACAACATATTTAATAGTATAGTTGACTTACATCCTGGTGCAAGCTCATTTTCTCACTTGTGGACTGGTAACAAAAAATTCATAGACCAGTGCCAGTCTGGGGACCACGGTTTGAATAGCACTGATGTAGAGGGCCCCGGAATTTTATACAGCCCGCCTTCAATATAATGGCGTAAATGTAGGGACCGCCTCCTTCTGACCATTTTGCTGTTCAAAGATCCTCTTATTTCCTTGAAATAAAGGCATCAATAATTTCTCCATTCTAACAATCCAACTAAACCTAACAACCTATGAAAACAACAGCTGCCCCATTGTTAGAAAGAAGAGGATGTGTGCTTACTCTTCTTGGCGTAAGTCATTGACGCTGCGGTCCAGTGAGATCATGTCACTTGCCACCATGTTAAATCCAAACTCTTTAATGCTGGCTTGAATTGCATGTTTGAATTCTGGTCCCAAAACCAATGGCTTGGCTTTCTCTCCAGGGCCACCAACCACTCCAGGAGGCTCAGGTTCTTTGGGTTCAAAGTTACCGAGGATCCCTGGGCGAAGCACAGGATCACGGTAGGTGAATGTCTGAGGCTTAAATGTGAGATACTGCCTCTGCATGATATCTTTCTGGGAATCTCCTCCAGCATGGTGCTCTTGTTCATTTTTGGCCTTGTTTTTTCTTCTAATAGACTCTAAGTCCACTTCTACTCCTTCAACATGAGGCCATGGTACCACAGGTTTGAATCTGTCCTCCCCAGGAGCTAGTCCATTGCCGCCTCGGTTGGGCATGGGGTCATTGACATCTCTGTCTTCCTATACAAAAGGGAGGGGATATACAATGAGTATATGAAGGCAAACCACCACAGTTGAGTTCATGAGACCAATTTTCAGGTTTAAAAAAAGGCTGAGGCAACAATAAAACAGTTTGGAATACAAGCAGGACATTAATCAGGACTTCCCATTAGAAGATAGCTTTCAGAGTAGAGAGGAAATACCAAGAAATAGGCTATCTCCTCACCTTACTGTTTCAAAATTAATGAAAGGATGCATTTTTACTTCTCCCTTTACAAACCTACCTGTCTATCAAAGGCCCCTTAATAAAGCATGTTTTTAAGGGTTAGAGCAAAGAAGTTCTAGAATCTTTGATTAAAACAGATGCTTAATAGGTCATGTTTGTACAGTATGTGGTTTTCCCAGTTGGCCTGTGTGTGATAAATATAACCTTTTGTCGGTAGCACAACCATATGGTGGCAGTGGTATTAGATGGATGTCACTGTCAGCAGGCTGGCTCAGTGCCCCAAATGGCAGAGGAACAAGGCGGGGATATGCAGAGTCCCAATTTGGTATTTTTTACTCACTGAGAGTTTATCTGAATTCAGAAGTATAAAAAAAGCTAATACCTGTAACTAAGTCAGCTTGGGCTTTTAAACTACTCCCCCATACCTAGTTTGCCCCATTCCGGAAGCAGCATGGGTCAAAACAGGTTCTTTGTACAAGGATATTCATTCACAGTAAAGGGTGCCTCTCTTTTCTGTTTGGACCGTCTTCATCACCTATGCAGATCTTCCAGTCAGATATGATCAATGCTTTTGCTTCTGCCAGCACCATTCTTTGCACAAGACACTGTTTCTCAACATTGGCATCACCTTGATGGCTTTGAAAAATGCCAATGTCTGTGTCTTACCCTCAGACATTATGATTTAATTGGTCTAAGCATTTCGATTTTTAAAAGCACTCCTGGTGATTTTAATATACATCTAAGCCTGAGAATCACTGGCTTAATGGGAGGGCTGCTCATTATAATTAGACAAGGGGATTATAGAGGACGCAGCTGGGGAAGAGGCAAGGTGCACACAGAACAACTGCAAAATAGGCTGATGGGTCTGCCACTTCCCTCCACACTAACACTGTGTGATTCCCCTACAGATAGAATTAGCTACAGATAGATTCCCCTACAGTCATAGAATTAGCACCACCCGACCAAAATCTTTCTACAGGTTTAGAGCTACCTTGAAAAGTAAAGTTTACTAGTTTGCCTTAAAAAATACAAAAGAAAGTCTCTAAGTATGATGTTGATGTGTAGGTGCTCTCTATTAGTAGTTTATCTAGAGGCAAAAATCTTTATAGAAAGTCAGTTATTTCAGAAGTGAAGTTAGTAGTTAAGGGATGGCAAAGACTTGATTCTCAAAAGTTCAAAAATAGGCATGCAATGCAAAATTCAAAACATCCAAAAGGGCATGTAGTGAAAATCAAGCTTTTCTGCCTTTCCTTCTGCAGAGGTGATTACAGCTACCAACTTCTTGTGAATTTTTCTAGAGATGTGATATGCATGTATAAACAAACATGTGTATATATAACAAGATAATTTTTTTTGGAAACGGGACATAGATTTTAACTAACTCATTAAAAAAGGAACCTGTAAGATATTACAACTGGTTCAAAAAGAAATCCAAAGGACAAACATAAATATCAAGGATATTGCAAAGAATTTACAAATGGATGCAAATCTGGTTAAATTGGTCACTCTGCGTAGGGCAATAATCAACTGCATTCCACCAGAACAATTTGCATTTCAATGGACAAGGGTCTTTTGCATCACTCTCAGTTTTCTGTAATTTCCAGGATTGTAAAATAGGAAAGGGTGAGATAAGCTGGAAAGCTGAGTTAGACAGTCATCTTTTGGGACCATTTCAAAGTTTTTCACAAGTTCTCCCCTAAATAGAAAAGGCAACACAGCCTGATTGTATAAATGTGATGCCTTTGTTCAGGTATGTGTGGTACAGGGTAGAGAAAGCCTTTGGATCAGCCTTCTGATTGGCACATCTCAGGGACTTAGCTTGAGCCTAACCTGTGAGCCCTACTAAGGGTCAGAGTAAGTGAGTAGAATGCTGTTTTGCTGGAAATCATATTCAAGAAGGACTGAAGATTCTCTTGGGAATTAACTAAGTAAAGTATAAGGCAAGCATAACTGTAAGAGAGAGGTAAGGGGTGATTCTGATGATGGAAAAAGTGTTTGTTTCTCCAATTTATCTCCTGGCTCCTTCCAAAATTATACTTACTTATGTTAGTGTTGTAAGTAAATTAATATAGAGATATCATTATAAAATGTTGTAACAAACTGGTTCCAAGTTGTTGATGCTGAAACAAGTATAACACAAAAAAGAGAAAGACATTCTCCTCCACTTTAGTTTTTCCTATCACAGGCTCAAGAGAATTGGTAAACAGGGAGGTAAGGAAATGTTACTAAATACAGAAGAGTAGTTTGAACAGCTCATACGATGTCAGCATCCAGAAGCCATAGCATCCACTAAGTTACCTAATGTTCCATACAGAGGAAATTGAATATTAGAAGAATACAGAATATGGTAACATGAAATCAAATTGTGAAATACCTGCTATAGTCTAGGTTGGCCTATGCTAATACCAAAATTGCAAATTTAAATATTTTTCAAATTCAACTATTTCAATGAGGGAAATTTTAATGGATTAAAAATTCATGTTTATTTTCCTCCAAAAGTTTTTTTTTTTTTTGACTTAATGGTTCTGTGTCTAATCTTAAACTGTCGGTGTTCTTCAGGGTTCTGTTATGAGTCTATTTGTCACTCCATCCTCGTGTTGGGTTATTTCATTCTCTTCCAAGCTCAGTGACCAGTTTTATAGTGATCATGGCTACAACCATTTCCCCAGCCCGTATCACCTTTCTGAACTCTAAACCTCATAGGCAACTGCTTCCTGAACATTTCTATTCATCTCTCTCTAGTAGCTCTAGTAGCTAAATTTAACATATCAAAAACTGAACCTATCATTCACCTCACATCACAAGCCTGTCTCTTTACTTCAGGGACTGAAACCACCATTCACTCAACTGATGAAATCCAAAACCTGCAATCATCCTCAACTTCTTATTCTCTTTTATCTACCCTTCTGACATCCAATTAATCATAAATTCCTGTCAATTCTATCACCTGCGTAGATCCTCCATCTGGCCACTTCTTTCTATCATCCTCACTGCTGCTGCCTTAATTCAGGCACCCTCACCTCTGAACAAGATTACAATAGGAATAATAGTGATGATGGTAAACACTGTGTCCTAAAGTGCTTCACATATATTAACTTAATCAATCCCATGAGTTAGGTACTATGATTGCCATGTCTATTTTATAGACAGGACATCTGACAGGAAAGTTACCCAAGATTAGAATCAGTATGTAGAAGAGTCAAAATTTCAATCCAAATAGTCTGGCTCAAGAGTCCATACTCTTAACCACTATGACCTAGTGCTTCTCACCCTGACACATGTACTTCCTACACAGCAGCCACAGGGACTTTTCCAAAATTCATGTATCAATATGTTTCTTTCCCTGCTTACAATATTCCAGCAGTAGCCCACTGCCCTCTGGAGAATATACACTCCTCAAGGGGGTTGGCAAGGCTTTGGAGCTCTAGATTGCATTTATGAAATGTCTCCATCACTATCCATGAGAGAGGAGTCAGCTAACTTTTTCTTCAAAGGGTTAAGTAGTAAACATGTTTGGCTTTGCAGACCACAGGGTCTCTGTGGTAATTATTCAAGTCGGCCTCTGTAGTGTGGGAGCAGCCATAGACAATATGTAAATGAATGGGTACGGCTGTGTTCCAGTAACCCTGAATTTACAGACACAGGTGTTGGGCTGGATTTGGCCCCCCAATCCCTGCACTAGACTGTAAGTTCTGTGAGTGCATAGGCTATGTCCATCGTACACACCACTGCATCTCCAGTGCTTATCCTGGCACATAATTCCTCAATAAATACTCACTGAATAAACAAATGAATCCTAAAAGTTCTGCTTTGGAGATAAGACAGACTCTGAAAAGAAAAGCGGAGATAAAGAATGGAAAATACAAAATAGGAGAGCAGGGCTTAGATCAGATAGACCCGTACTGGCAATACCTTATGAATTCACCAAGAACATAACTCTATATTCCCTCCACAGCATTGTACTTTTAATAATGCTATATAATAGGACCAGAAAAATTGAATTTGCTCACTTCTCAAAGGCTGCATGTCATTAAATCTGAAGGCAAAACCAAATACAAGAATTGTCTGTCTAACCCCAAGTCAACTAAGAATAATCACATCAAATCTTAATTATATGATTCGAACAATGGCTATAAAGTGGTGTAATACTTTACTCCCCTGAGGAGGAAAGCTACATACTCCTTCTGTCTAAGAGTGAATGAGAATCAGTAGATGCCTCTGTGACTCACTGATACTATAATACCTTCGTAAACACCAGCTGATGCGCTCTACAGTCCAAACCAATGAATCACTATTAAACAGAAATGGAAAAGAGGATGAGTAGATAATTTTCCAAGATCAGTATGTGCATAAAGGTGGAAATGGACTGAAAAATATAATCACTTATCACTGGATGGTAATATGGATTACCAGAAGTAAGGTCAGGGCAGTCACCATCCACCCTACAATTAACAAAGTGCCCCTTCTTACCTCCAAATCCTGCTTATACGTAATATTTTTCCAAGATGGCCATGCCTTGGTAGAGATAATATAAATCCAAAGGGATTTAGAAAAATGGTCTTTAGAGGAAATGACAGTAACTTAGGCTTGCTTGAATTTGAAATCGTAGGTGAAGCCTAGAAAACTAAGCTTTTAATGATGAGCTTATGCAGTCACACGATCTCTTGAGAAATGACTTAGCTTTAGGAAAGGGCCACTGCTTGAATGACATGCACACTATTTGGTTATCATTCTTCATGAGCCACAGAATTTAAAGGCATAACAAGCCAAACTTCAATCTGTGATTTTTAACTCT